TCATCGTGTTGATGACGTTTCTGATGCACAAACAGACGCTGGAAGATCTTAAATATCCCATGTAAAAGAGGTGCTGTTCATATTGAAGATGCCGATGAAGATGTCAACTTGGAAAGACAACAAGAGCTGAGAGCTTTTTGTGATAAGGGCCAATGCCAGTGCAACAATGCAGCAGAAGTGTTAGTCATGTCCTGCTTCCTGTATGCTCTACCCAGAACCCACCTCTCTCCCGAATGTTCCTATTGTTCTTCATATGTGAGAGTCCCGAAAAGGTCCGCACCTGATTTTCTTGATATTTTCTGGCATTCACATCTGAATACAGCTTGAAACAACCGCGACCCTAGAGTGACTTTGGATGCCAACAAAGCTGCTACTGTGCATGCGCCCCTACCCAGGACCAGTAACCCTTCACCTTTGACCTTTGACTTAGGTCAGACTGTGGTTTGATTTGTTGTGAATAAGCCTCTTTAGTCTTAATGGATAGCTGTCTCTAATGCTGATTGTCCTCATCCGTCAACTCAGTGGAAGAACTGCTTTGTCTGCAGCTGTGTCACCACTGTTCTCAACACACACACACACACACACACACACACACACACAGGAAGTTGTGAGTAATACAAATTTTGTGGTGAAACAGGTTACACTGGGATGGCAACAGAAAAGGAGCAGGGATATGCTTCTTGACAGCTTCAAGATGCTCAGTTGCGTCAGGAATGCCATTGTTGCTTCAACACACACACACAACACAGACACACATGCAAGCACACAGGCCGACAGCTGAGCAGTCAAGGGTGTTGATAAAGATTGTGTATCTCTAGACTGTGCCATCCTGTTAATCATCATAGAACAAAGCAGGCGAATCCCCCGATGGCAACGATAACAGCCTGACAGAATTACAAGACAACACACACACACACACACACACACACACACAAACACAACTACTCATGCTGCAAGGTCCATGAACAATGACACTCCCCCAGCTGTCTAGACGGAGTGCAGGGCTGCTGTTGGCTGACTGCTGGGGATCTCAGAGGGGATTAGAGCACACACCACTACACTCACCTGTTCTTAGCTGCTTGTTTCTCGATGTGTGCTTTCACGCAGCATTGATGCAACGTGACAGGCACATAGGGAGCTGGGTGAACCATGAGGTATGGCAACAAGATATACGAGTAGAGCTGTGGATGACTTTTTGGTCAAACAGCAGGAGAAATTGTGCTACCAGCTATATAGTTGGAAAATAATAGTACTAATAATAATATGTACAAACTTCTGACATCAAGATTTCCACTCTAGGGAGAAATTATCAAATCTTCTCCCTAAAGCAAACTTGTAATCAATAAGCAATAAGACTCAGCTATAATCAATTCACCTCACTCAGTGGTTTTGCTCATGCAAACATTAGTTGGTCTGGTATGATCAATACCGCCATGGTGGCTTCTATTAGCTTAACATAAGCAAACATTATTGCATATTGATGCATCACAGATGTTATTGGGTCAGTTTGCTGACTTTCCTTAAAGAGCCTGATCAATATGGATTTTGGAGATTGACCATATTGTCTTTGTTCTGTGCTCGCTGAGATTTGCACGCTTGTTCCTGTCACACATACATACCCAGACTAAAATAAAGGGTCAGCATCTGTCTTACGTTCCACACATGCACACCTGATTACACATTGCTGTCCATTCCATTCCAGATGTATCGTACCTGCAGCATGTGCAGTTGACGCATACAGTCAGCGTGGTCACAAATTTTGGGCTGCACGCGGGCGTCGAGTGAAATTCTCTTATTGGCTGATTTTTATCGGCCAACTGATAAATTGTCCAGGCTCTATTCCCTTTTGCCACTATTACTCAACATTTAAAACCTACGGGTTTCTAACTTGTAAACACTGGTTCACCCACAATGATACTGGGAAACTCGATATGCCCAACTTGGCTCTTACTAATACAGAAGTGCCTGAAAGGTAAACAAATATGGATCACGCCTCACATCAGCCAAAGACTATCGTTCACTGTGACTGATGTGGTACACATACACAGTGGCCTGGTCCATAATTCAATTTACACATTTGTGGAGGAGTTACCTGAGTGACCCCTTGTTTGCAGACTGTGCGACACTGACTGGCAGAGATGCAGAACCATAATGAAATGATTTATCAGAGCCTGAGAAACTGATGGGAGGAGAGAAGAGCTGTGGGGGAAAAAACAGAGCAATAAGGAGAGTGAAGATTATCACAAGCGATACAGGAAATCATTGATAGTGTGAGCACGTAGAATAAAACTCTCAGTCACTCCTGCACATATATGAGTACAAGCGCAGAGACGGAGCAGTGTGTGTGTGAGTGTATGCAGGAGATGACTTGCAGATACTCTACTGGATTTATTCAAACTTTCTCTCAGAGCTGAGCAGACTTTGTCGTCCTGACTGCCCCAACATAAAATAAAATTCCTTCCAGTTTCCACAAAGCTTGTGAGGGTTTTCCATTTTTCTTTTTATCAGTTCTCTCTGTGGCAAGGACACCCCAGGCTTCCCCTCATGGAACCTAATCTAGACAAAGACAATGGGAGGAAAACAGCTGAAACGCAACATTAACAACATTTTACAGCTGCGTGTTGAACTGTGGTGGAAATATTTTTCATCTGAGGTTCTTTGGTTTTGTCTTACCCTGCAAAATAGACCATGTAAAGTGGTTGATGCATGCATGAGTATGGCATATAGCTTAAAGAGATAGTTCGCCCAAAAATGGAACATTCACTCATTATCTACTCACCACTATGCTGATGGAGGGGTGGGTGAAGTGTTTTAGTCGACAAGACACTTTTTGAATTTCAGTGGTAAACTGGTGACCACTTCTTCAAACGTAAGAAAAACAACACAAAAAAAAGCCTAAATGTCCTCTGGCTTCCTGACACTTGGATGATGCCACAGGAGCAGTATGGAGGCATATCATGTTTTTATTCAGTTGTTTTTTACATTTGAATAATTGGTCACCATTTACTTTAACTTTATTAGATTGGCTGCAACACTGTTTTACCCCTGTATCTCCATAGTGTTTTCTGGACTCAAACTCTTCACCCACCGCTCCATCGACATAGTGGCGAGTAGATAATGAGGGAATTTTCATTCATCCCTTTAATAATTTAGATTGAAACAGCTCAATCAGGTGTCGTGGTTATAATCTGCTGGGTTAAACCCATCTGTTGGGCCTCTCACAGGTTGTCGTCAGTGTATCACAGTAGTAGTGTGCAATGTGGAGCAGTGGTTATAGCTCTGAGGAACAGACAAGAAGATGTCGGACCCCGTTAACCACAACATACACTGTGAGGGACCTGGCCATGGGTGTCAGTGTAGTGTAAGTAGAAAGGAAGGTGGTAAAATGCCTCACAGAAAGATGACTGCCCATCCCCCCAGCCTTTTGTGTGCCTGCATGCGTCCGTGTCTAGGTGCGTACAAGTGCACGAATAAGAGCTGGTGTGGGGGAACAAAGGGAAACTGAACCTCGCACACAGGAAACTTGAGACATGAGCTGCTCTTCTGCATGCCAGCGTGTGCTTGACCTTTCACCCCAGGGACACTGGTCTATCGAGGTGGCTCATAGGCGGGGGGGTTGTGCATGTTTGTGTGTGGGATCAGAAGAGGATGAAATGATTGCAGCAAACCCACTTGCCTCCAAGATGATAGATAATGTGGTCATGTCAGCATTGCTGTTCTTATATTCTCTCTTAACTGTTACCGCTCTAAAGGAGCATCATTACCTCCAACGAGGAGGTTGTGTTTTCATCTTGGTTTGTTTGTTGTCCTTTTGAAAGATTACAATAGATTGTGTATATTTGTGTAAGTGCACATTGTGGCCGAGCCCTGCCCGTGATCTGAGCTACAAACAGCAGGAAGAATACTCGTGTGTTACGTCAGATAAAACTTCCTGGGTGTTGCTCAAGGTCTCGCTGTCAGCATGTGGGGTTTGCTGTCCTTCCTGTCACCCCTGCAGGCAGAGTGGCTTTGTGCCGCTGAACTTGCCCAAAGGTACCCAGAGACTGCACCTGTCCTCGGAGATGATGATGTCCGATTTAGGTAGTCACCAGGTTTGGTCAGTGAGCGTGGGAGCACAGCAGTGTTGATGTCAAATTCAGATATAAGAGACTCTGCTCACTCTGCTTGATCACCAATATATCCATTGTCTCTACATTTCCACTTTAAACTTGTAAAGGAATCAGATGGCATCAAGTAGATGATGAGTGATGGGGATAATTGTACCCTGAGGAAAACGGCACTTGTTTCTGTAGTATGCCCACTCTAGCGTACAGCGGCGCAGTAAGTGCTCCTCTCCACTACAGCTGCATTGTTGGTCCATTGAGGGAAGAAACATGTTGAATTTTTAAAATGTGCAACCCGAAGCAGTCTTAAAGGGAAAGACAAATGGCACCCGGGCAAAGATAGAGGCCACGCGATCGCTTTCGGGCTGCACCAGTGTCTCCACGGCGACTGAGTGACCCACATTTACATTCTCTCCTCTGTCTTGTGGAGATGTGGGAGACGGGGGCAGCTGTTTGGGGGTGTTTTTGTGTCCCACGACGACGGCTGTGGGTCATCTGCTGGAGAAGATGAGTGTGTTGCTGTGAAGAAAGAGGAGATATTACTCCAGGATAGTGAACAGAAAATTTAAAGTAGAATGAAAAAAATGATATACAAATGAAATACAAGTCAATTTAATTTCAAAATTATCTCAAGGCACTTTATACAGTAAATTACAAAATTATAGAGAAACCCAACAGTTCCCACAATGAGCAAACTTTTGGCAAGTGTGGAGAAAAACAAATCTCTTGTAAACAGTTTTGTGACTTTGAAATGTTCCTGCAGAGCCCTAACCTGAATAAGATGAACTACCACCACAAAATGTACTTGAGTTACAATTTCTTATAACTCAGTATCATACCTCTTCCTCATCCTGTCAATAAACTGCTGATGTTTCTTTTTGTCTATTTGTGCTTTAGACAGGAATGCCCCAGACTGTGTGCTCAGGCATCATGTTCACCACTCCCAGTGGCTTCAGCCCTCATCTGGCCTGTGCTGAGCCTGGGGAGGAGGAGGAGGCCCCTCAGGAGGGTCCGGAGCCCGGGGCTTGCCTGGCCGACGGGCCCCCGATCACCTCTGCCTCCCTGGACACCCTGATCCAGAATCTGGTGCCCACTGCTGATTACTACCCTGAGGTAAACGGAAATGTAACACAGTTCATTAAAAAGTCCATCTCAGTATATAGAAGTAATGAGAGTCCTGCCAATTACATTATTATCCCCATGTCTCTATTTAAAGTTCAGTTCTGCTCCCTGTAATTACTGTAAGCAGCAGAGTTTTTATTGATGTAGTGACAGTGTCTGAGTGAATGTCTCCCTCTGTCCTTTGACAGAAAGCCTATGTGTTTACCTTCTTGCTGAGCGCTCGTCTGTTCATCCCTCCTCCGGAGCTGCTGGCCAGGGTGTGTGAGCTGTGCATCAAACAGCAGCAGCTGGATCAGAGCCCACTCGATACGGTCAGCACTGCACCACACACCAATGCATAACAGCCGTGTGCACATGCATGATCTGGTAAACAAAAACACATGCAGGAGCAGAGAAAGCACACAGACATACTCCTCATCCTCATGTAAACAATAGCCACCAATTTTTGGCCAAATTGCTGACTTCAGGATAATATTTGTTTGGCGGATACAGTCATTAATCCAGACTGTGGTAAAGCTCTTTCACTTCTTCAATCACAGGCAAAAGTGAGGAAGTTTGGCCCGAAGATATTGCAGCTGCTGACAGAGTGGACGGAGACATTCCCGTCTGACTTCAGGGACGAGAAGATGGTCGGACTCCTGAAAGACATCATCCACAGGATAGCTCAATGTGATGAGGTACAGTCATGACGTGGAACTGTGATTACTAATTATACGTTTTCCTTACTTCCGTAATGATCCTCATTCATACTTCATACAACCTGAAAACGTAAATCATCATAGACCGGGCATGTGTGTGCCAGTGTAAACAGGAAGCAGATTGTCTCCTCTGCAGTTGGTAGTTTATTTACAGAAAATACTGCAAAGGAGAAAAGTGAGCTGGGGGATATTTTTTTAATGATGATGTGAGGCAGTAAGTTTTAAAAACTTTGGCCTTCGCCGCTGTTGTTGAGTTTGACTGATAAGCACCAGTCAGGGAGTGAATGTTGGTGACGGCATCATCATTTCCAGACAATGACGCAGCTCCAGAGTTTTGAAACTAAAACAAGGCCAGCAGTATGTCCAAACTTCTCCATCTTAGGGGCTCAAAATTTCAGAACTTCAGGCATAAACATAGCAGCAGTGAAGCGTTTTACAACTAAAATGTAGTTAGTGTGGATGTAGCCTGCATCAGTTTCTGTTTGACCAGTCATCTTCACTAAAGACAAGAATACTTTTACAGTTTTGGAAGGATCCTAGATCTTAAAAAAGAGAAAAATAGGAAACAACTCTGCAGCTTATAACAAGATAATCATTTTGTGATTTTGAGCCACATTATTGCTGTTGCCATTACAGCTTTTATAAACTGTAGCTGCAGTGAGAAATGCTCTGATGGGGAACAAAATTTAATTATCATCACTACCGCTGTGGTGGAAGGAGTCAGAGTGTCAGTGTAGGGGGGGGGCAGCCGCAGCTCCGTGTTACACAATCTTACCACACAGGAGAGGAGAGAGAGGAAGGAAGGATGTTAGAGGAGTGGATCTATCTGCAGCCTCGGGGGGGGACATAGAGGAAGGGAGATTGATGGAGAAAATGGGGGGATGGTAAACAGGGACACGAAGGTGGAGGAGCGTGATGGAGTCAGAGAGGAGGACGAGAAAAAAAGGAGGGACAGAAGGAAGGGAAGGGCAGGTGGTGATGAATGTGCTGCTATGTCCTACAGTATGGGTGTGTGTGTGCATACATGTGGCTCATTTGTGCGACAGTCTGACCTGTAACAGCCTCGGTGACCAGTCATCTGCAGGGAGGGCCACAGAAACACACATTCCAGGACACAGAGCACATCGCAGCTGCTGAGTGAAAACCTCGATGAAATGTGTTTTAATTCAGCTGAAAGATTACATTGAACTCTGGGTTGCTGAGCTCATTCAATCCTCTCAAACATCATCACATGGTTTCAAAATGCTTCGCTTTTGTGCTAAAAAAAAAAAACAAGACAGCGTGGTTTTGGAAAGCTTCTCAGTTTACGGCACATTTGTGAGCATGACTCGCAAAAAAATTAAAACGCACACTCCTCCACTGGCAATCAGAAGGAAAAAACACCTTTTTTAGAAAGGTTTGCCCGCTTTAAAAAAGACCTGCGTATACCTACTAATTTACTGTAAAAGAGACAAAACACTTTTATACAGGTCAGCAGCAGTGGTGGGGAAATAAACTTTTATACTATCTATTTAATAGTCACTATGAATGGAGAGCACAAATATGAGCTCACAACCTGGCAACCCAGAGATTCTTTTGATTCATGCCTATTATTGATCTATGAAGCATTAATAAATTATTCAGGAAGTTGGTTATTGACAGCACCTCCCCTCTTCTCTCCTCTCCTCTCCTCCCCTCTCGTCTGCAGGCGTACTGGAAAACCCTGAACCAGGTGCTGCAGAACCTCAGCCAGAGGCTGGCCCAGATGAGCCAGGGGGAGGAGAGCATCGTCAAGGTTTCCCTCAATGCCTCCTCCATCTCTGACAAGCTGGTGGCCTTCAAGACCAAGCCTCCGCCCATCCAGAAGGACATGCTCTCCATCTGCAACGACCCGTACACGCTGGCACAGCAGCTCACCCACGTGGAGCTGGTAAGGAGAGGAGAGGGGGGAGGTTAGAAAGAGGTCAGGATAAGACATCGCGAAAGGGGATGGACAAAGAGAAGAGGAGAGGGTGTTGGGAGGGGGGCTAAGAATGGTGAAGCATAGATGGAGATTAAGTCTGTGTCAAGGATGTAAACACGGGATAAATCACATGAGAGGAGGAGATGGAGGGAATAGAAACAGATATGAGCGTGTTCGAGAATGAGTCTGAAAGAACAAAGGGAAGACAGTGAGAGGTACAGTTGCAAAGTAAAACTGGCAGACACACTTAGCACTGTGATCCTGTTCTGCATTTTGAAGATGGCTGCAGATAATTGGTCTTCACCCACTTTAACAGAGACAAGAACAAAGGGAATAATGCAATGAAACATACATGAACAAAGAGATCTCTGCAGTGTCCCTCACATTGCATGCATGGTGCCTTCAGTCTATTCATGTGTGTCTTGATGTGAGCACGTGTATGTG